AGCCTGGAGAAGAGAAGACTGAGAGACGATCTCATAAATGTGTACAAGTATGTGAAGGGGGAGTGTCAAGAGGATGAGGCCAGACTCTTCTCAGTGGTGCCCAGCGACAGGACAAGAGGCAATGGGCAGAAACTTAAGCACAAGCAGTTTCACCTGAACCTGAGTAAAAACTTCTTTCGTGTGAGGGTGATAGAGCCCTGGATCAGGTTGCCCAGAGAGGTAGTGGAGTCTCCTTCCCTGGAGATATTCAAAACCCGTCTGGATGTGGTCCTGGGCAATATGCTCTAGAGCATGCTTGAGCAGGGAGGTTGGACTAGATGATCTCCAGAGGTCCCTTCCAACCTAAACGATTCTGTGATTCTGTGATTCCAGGCTTGTTTTGTATCTTCTTTTCACTCCATTGTTCATCTAGTCTTAGTTCATATTCTGCCTATCTGGTAACTGAGAGTTGGGGATCTATTTTCCGTAATTTTTTCCAGTTTATTTTTGCCAGCTGAGCCCTTGGGAGTCCCACAAACAGGATGAGAACACCACAGCGTGATCTGCTCGAAAATAGACCTGCATTTGTTTTTTCCTCTGTAGTGTAAGGCTAGTGGAAGTTCTGTAGGACATGGAGAGAAAGTATCTGTCTCTCTTTCTCTGTCTCTCCCAGCCACCTCCCCAGCAGGCAGCTACTTCATAGCTCTAGCCTTGATGTGGGAAGTATAGAGATGGTGGGGGGTGGTTGCATTTATACCCGTATAATCAGCTGGATATCAAAATGTCCATGGATAGCTCTGAAACTGGTCTTTGATCATATCACAAAATATGAGCAGCTGAGTAGAGGAGGCTGCGTAGACAGCCAAGGGGGGATGGATAGCAACCTCTGTGTATGCCATTGTTGCAATAAAAAGTCAATATATCAACCCAATCAAATCAATGCTAGTAAAACATATCATTGTCTGCTTTACTTGACCTTGCCTGCTCTTTAGGAGTAAGAAGGTTTGATCTTAACTTGACCTTGGTCTAAATATCCACCTTTCTTCTTTGTCTTGTTGGCAGTTGTGCTGTGCACAGGTGTGTAACATGCCATGTTTTCAATTAAGACTTAGGTAAAATGCTATGACTGCTGTGGGAGGAAAGTGTTAGTATTAACAAAATTTATTATTCAGTCCCCATGGAAACTGTAGTTCTTCTGGGAGTCCTAGTTCTTACATACTTTCTTCCTTTAGAAAAGAAAATACATCTTTAGCCATGAAGTTCAAATAGTTATTTTCCAAAAATAGAAGGCAAGATACACTCCTGTTTGCTTTTTGACATTCTTGACAGATGTCTGTTTATGGGTACTAACTGCTTACTAAGCTGTATTGTGGTTTCCAGTCACATAAAGATTTTTGGAATGTGGTTAATCTAATTTTATCTTGTTATTTTTCTAGCTCTCCATTTAATTTGTCTTTTTTCCTCATTTTTATATTTTCTTATTTGCTGCATTTTTTTTTTTTTCAAATTGAGGGGGAGATATTTGGTGAACAGACCTGGGAAATGAACTTGCCATTTGCTATTTAAGAGTATAACCTTGGTGAAGTTTGAGAGCATGACCCACAATTGTAAATGGGGCACAATATCTGTTTTTAAAAGAAGTTTAAGTTCCTCAGATTTTTCAGAGGAAAATTGTTAAAATATTGAGTGGTTTATTCTTGGTGGAGCAGTTAACTCAGTATTTGGCTATCTTGCAGTGCCTAAAACAGTATGTGGAGCTTTTGATCAAAGAAGGTCTAGAGACAGCAATTAGTTGCCCTGATGCTGCCTGCCCAAAGCGAGGTCATCTACAAGAAAATGAGGTATGTTTTTACTGCAATTTTCCTTTCCGTTCCTTTCCTTTCCGTTCCTTTCCTTTCCTTTCCGTTCCTTTCCTTTATATTCAAATGTGTCTGGTGCAGTCATTGTTGCCAGTATACGTTTTTAAAGATTCTGTAAAGATCAAATATTTTGTCTCCGTTTGCGGAAAATGCATTAGATTACTGCTGTTCTTAACTGGAAATTTGTCTTTTCCTTCTCCTTCCTTCAACAGATTGAGTGCATGGTTGCATCAGAAATCATGCAAAGATACAAGAAACTACAGTTTGAAAGAGGTAACATACGCTATCCCTTGCAAGGCTGTGGATACAGTATCACTCTGGAACAATCCTGTAACTCATAATCTAGTCCTATACATGTTTGTGCATTTAATGTTTTGTCATCAGAAAAAAAAAAGCTTAAATTCTTTCTGTTCTTGCCAGCCTGATGCCCTTTGCAACATTCTGGAAGTAAACTAAGGAGAGAAAATTACTGTGTGTTTTATTGCTCTATAACTAAAGGAGGAAATGACTTCTGTTTAGACCTTAGTGCTGTCTGAGTTGACTGCCAGTACCCTAGACACTGTCTACCTAGGCTGACCCCTTTTATGGAGTCAGCATTATCTCTTATGCTAGAATCTGCTGTGGAATTATTAGGCGGGTATGAGCGTAAAGAGAAAGTGAACCTTGTTAACTGTTATGAGGATATAAGCTGACTGGGTGTCTGTGCCTCTCACTATGGTGATATGAAATTGGGCAGAGTTTCATAAAGACAGTTCGATTTATGTGTCCGTAGAGAACTTATGCTAAAGTTTTCATCAAGTAATAGACCCAGATCAGAGACCACTCAAATCAGTGGTATGTTTTTACTGACTACAGTGGGCTTTGAAACATGAAATGACTTACCAGTAAGCAGCCTTCAGGAAAAGGGTGAAATTGGATAACAATCTTAAATTATTGATAATTATGTGGTTACGTTAATGCAGATGGCAACTTGAAATAGAGCCCCACTGGGCAAGGCACTGTAAAAACACGTTCTGGTGTGTTATGCCTGCATAAGATATGCTCTATTTAACTTTAAGTGTAACTGAAGAAAAATATTGCATTCCATTCTCAGGATAGGTTTAGTTCAGTGAATGAAAGTGAGCAATTAGTTCAGACTCTGGAAACTCAGTTTAGTTATCTTAGTTTGGTGCCTGTTTGCAAAGCAGGCCAGATTTATGTTTAATTGAGTAAAGTAAATAAAAAGGCTGCTTTTGAAAAGGTGGATGTTCAAATGCCCTGCCAGTCAACCTCAGCTGGAACACAGTGTTAAGGAAGGCTGGTCTTGTAACTGCCTTTGAATTTAGTTCTTTTATGCCTTTTTACAGAAGTGCTTTTGGATCCGTGTCGGACTTGGTGTCCCTCCTCTACTTGCCAGGCAGTTTGCCAGCTCCAGGAATCAAGCCCTCAGAACCCCCAGCTGGTGCAGTGCAAAGCCTGTGACATAGAGTTCTGCTCTGCTTGCAAATCCAACTGGCACCCAGGTCAAGGCTGTCAAGAGAATATGCCAATCTCCTTTCTTCCAGGAGAAACAAGGTATAGTATGGCAACTGACCAAGCGTCTAGAAACAAAACACTGAATCTTTTAACAAAGAGGAGCATGAATAGTAAAGAGGCACTTTCCAGATGCTTTATTTGGTTATAAAGCCATTTCCTTCACCTAGTCGCTCCAGTTCTCCAGTAACGCTACATTCCAAAACTGGATAGCTCTTGATGGCCTCCCTTCCTTGCTACTATCCGCACCAAAGCACAGAGGAGACGTGCACAGAGGATACACCCAGCCAGCTAATGAGCTTCTCCTCACAGAAGCTATGACAGCCTGAGGGTTGGTCATATCATCCCAGATAGTGATTTTTAGGATACCCTGTCAAGTATCCCAACTGTTACACATCTGGACAATGATCTCGAGCTCTGAGGCCACGGTGAAAAATCTCTGAGCTATTTCCACTGGCATACTGCAGCCAGTGAATAAGAAGTCATTGTGCACATGTCTCACTCAAAGTCTTGGCTTCTTTGAAGACGGCATAGCAGTTCAAGGTATTATTAAAGCCTTGACTAACCTTTGGGCTTAGCTATTCCTAAGTTGTCTTCTTTCAACCTTTGCTGTAACAGATGATTAGCTAGGATGCTGTCACGATTAGTTCCTGGTCAAATATTATAACTTTAGCATGTGTGTTTTGTGTGTGCTTGAGGCAGAACTCAAGCTCAATAAACTGCATGGCAAGGTAAAAGACTTAGTGTTTTGATTGCTTTTAGTTTTTACAGTTTATGGATTCAAAGCATTTTTCTGTGATATGGTTGCTACTAGTGTGACTAATGAGTATACGTCCTTTCATCCATCAGTCAGGCAAACGGCAATCAATCAAGAGTCAGTCCTGTTTTACTGCAGCTTGCTAATACCCCTTCTTGTATCTCCCACTGGCAGTGGCTGCAGGAAGTGTCATTTGTCAAGGCACGTTTTAGTTGTTGGAGCGGATAAAGCCTCGACAGGGTAGAAAGCTACTCTAGGGAAATAAATGTTCTTCCAGTGTTTCCACATTCCAGCTCTCTGCGCTGTGCCCATTGTATGAGGTGAGGTCCAACAGTTTTGCAGACTGGTAGAAGACACGAGAAGAGGTGGTGCTGACCCAAACTCATGAACCATGTTTTGACTAGATAGTGTTGGAGATGAAAAGAGATCAACTCTGAAAGAACAGCAAACTCAGAAAAACTCATGGTTCTTGATTTGGAGGGAAATTTCTAGAGAGGATTCTCAAGGAAGGCACAAACATGCAATCTCTCCCGGGTACCCTAGCCCCAAGGAATGTAGTCTGGGCTTACTGTGCTGTCAGGGGATACCTTCGTCTTCTCTTCTGAGGGAAGAGAATGGAGGAAAAATAAAATGATCTAGACACACATACATGTCCAAAACAGTATAGCCAAAATATCTGAACGATAGAACTCAGATGAATACCTAGAACACGTATTTTAATAAGGAAAAAAGTAGGGGTGTGTGTGTGTGTATATACATATTTATTTATTTTTTTTCTTAGAAGTTCTCCTCTAAACTGACATGGCCGCACGTCTTATTGATTTGCCACTCTCCCTCACAGTTCGGTTTTTAAAATGGAAGAAGATGATGCTCCAATCAAGCGCTGTCCAAAGTGCAAAGTTTACATTGAGCGAGACGAAGGCTGTGCCCAGATGATGTGTAAGAACTGCAAACATGCCTTTTGCTGGTACTGTCTGGAATCCCTTGATGTGAGTACACGCAGCACACTAAGGCTCTCAGAAGCTTGGCAGTTCATTGCTTTGCCATCCAGCTATCTCATTAATGAATTATGTACTTGCTCACTAGCCAGCTCTTCCTCTTTTGTGTCTTGTCTTCTGCACTTTCTGTCACAGCAGTATTTTTGTGTCTCCTTCTGCCAAACTTGGTGAACTGGGATCCACCAGAGCTATAGCTGGTAATTTTATAGGATTTGTATACTTAATTCTGCTTATCTAATCTGTGTGATCTTAGTATTTTGCTCATGTGAGACAGGAAAAAAGTATTAGTATAAAGTAAAATTTCATGAATATGTTTTATTGGCCATCTCTGCATGGCATCTGGCTTTGTTGTTTTAATAATACTTTGTTCAGGATTGGCTTTTTGATGTTCCACTTCTTGAAGGCGTTACAGAACGAGTATAGTAATGCTCTCAGTTCTGTGGAGGCTTAGTAGAGAAGCTCTAAATTCGTTATGCCATGCATTTCAGTGCAGGAGTTTAGAGGTCAGATTTGCTTACTGCTCCTTGAATTTTGTGGGGCAAGAAATTCATCTGATATATCAAAAATAATACAATGTTCTAACACCAGGAATTGATCAGTCTATAAGCTATTAGCTGTCAAATGTTTGTGCCCAGGATCAGAGTATATACAATATACGGTATCTGTTTCCACACCATGTATTCTATCCTATAGCAAAATTAACAATAGCAGTTAACAAGAAAATGTTTTATGTCATTAGAAGGTACTCTCTGACTATTCCTAATCCTGCTGTTGTCTCATTTGAATGTTTTACTGGGAGTCCTTAAATCATAGGCATTCTCAAGCTCCGTTAAAAATGAGAGTTGCCTTGGTACTTGGCCTGCTATCTTGGCTGGTGTATGAAAGTGTGACAGGGTGGATATGGAAATCTTTCTCCTATATTCTCCTGTAGTTGTATTGTCCAAAAGTAACCAAGTTTGGGAAGTCTGCGGTACAAATATTCATTTTCCTTTGCTCTTTCTCTCTCTGTCTCTCTCTCTGTCTCTCTCTCTGTCTCTCTCTCTGTCTCTCTCTCTGTCTCTCTCTCTGTCTCTCTCTCTGTCTCTCTCTCTGTCTCTCTCTCTGTCTCTCTCTCTGTCTCTCTCTCTGTCTCTCTCTCTGTCTCTCTGTGTGTGCGTGTGTGCGTGCATGCATGCATGCATGCATGCATGTAATATACCAGCCAGTGGCCAGCTTACCATCTCAGATTCTCATGCTGAGCTTTATACTAGCATTTAAATATGCAACTTGAGAGCATTTGGAAGAAGAGAGGCATTACAGAGAAACAACAGTTCTTAAACCTGCTTATGAAGCAACTTAACTGTAAACAAAGCACTTTGGAAAGGTTGGACCTGGCCAAGGTCCGCTTTACCAAGATTTTATCTTCCTGTACAATACCTGGTTATAAGTTCTTGGGACATAATATTTCACAGCTTACCAATTTGTACTTCTGTTTATTGCATATGTTTCCATTTAATATTTTGTAGGATGATTTTCTCCTTATACATTATGACAAAGGACCTTGTCGGAACAAGCTGGGACACTCCAGGGCATCTGTTATCTGGCACAGAACACAGGTAAAGCTCAGATCTCTAATAAGCTTGCGTGAGTCTACAGAGAAACAATACAGTGATGACAGCACTTTCCCTTGCCTTATTCTTTCTAACATCTAGGATTCAAATTCTGTCCTGAATGCTAACCAATTTTCATAGCCAACTTAAAGAAGGCTATAGCTTGGAGAGAAACACTCTTGGCACTCCCAGAGAGGACACCTCTTGATAGAAAGCCTTTCTAGAACTGCAAATGGTATGGTATATCTGCATGGCAAGTTAAATGCCAATGTAGCTATGTTCTTAGTATACTTAGTGGACATACTGGATTGACACTATCCTGACCATTAACAAGGAAGCCCATCCTGCAAGGGATCTTTAGGTTGTGGTCCAGAACTAGAAAGGAATCTCTTTATCTTGCTATGGACTCAAATTGACTCATTCACATAGGTTAGGTAGAGCTAGGTCCTCTACTAGGTATCCCTGTGGGCTTGTCAGTTGTTCCAAACGTAGTTCAAATTGACAACTGCAGAGTTCAGGAATACTTCTTATAGCCTAGATCAGGTCTTGCTGGATCCAGCATGAATACTACGTAACAGAAGAGTTCTGTGCCCTAATTTAACACATACCCTACAAATGCCAACCTATGAGTTAGACCCGTATACTACCTTTACAGTCACTTTAGAGAAATAGGTAAATCTGGGATATGAGTCATCTCTTCCTAAATTAGCTGTCAGCCAGTAAATATCTACCTTTCCTTGAGATGAAGTATTTTCCTAGAAATAAAAATTTCATCCAATTTGAGCATAAATCACAAGTCTGGAGAATAAGTGCCAAGTCTGGACAAATAATTAAATATGGAGGTATCTGAAATGAAGTGAGAAGGATTGTACCCCCTTTCTCCACACACACCGCTGTGCACCAAAGTGATAGACTGGTTTTTGTTTGACTTAGCCAATAGTATATTAGAAAACGTGCTGGTCACAGAACTAGTACCTAAGCTTTTTCTTTACTCTTGATATACCTGCAATATGAGATAATTACTCTGATATTTGGAAACTGTACTTAGCCACAGTAGTTGGTACAAGTATGTTTGGCAGACAGTATGTTTGATGTTCTGGTCATCATGAGAAAGAAAGCCATAATTCTGTACTATTGGGATTGCAGTTCTGCTAAACCTACTGAAGCCAGATCAGCACTGTAATCATTTCCTTGTGTTAGGTTTCGTTGAGTATTTATTTAAGGCAAGTTGAAGTGAGCCTTTGGTTGTTGTTTGTGGATTGAAAAAAAATATTTATTTTGGCTGGAGGGAAGTGTGTGATGGTGTGTAGGGAAGATTGCTAATAGATGTGAAATGCTCAGCTGTTCAGGAACGATTGAATCCAGGTGCAAATGAGTAACTAATACTCAGCCAGCAACCTGCTGGGCTAATGTTTAAAAAAAAAAAACAAAACCCAAGATGAAACTTGGTGAATTCTTTAATGGCATATTGGCACTGAAAGGAAGATATAAGTAGGTATATCATAAATATCACCAGTGGCCAATCCAGTGCACTGAAATACTAACTTCCACCTTGGCTCTGTGCAACTAGCAGTGACCCATTGTGCACTCTTAGCCTGGACTGCAAAGAGCTAGATAAGTGTGCACTGTCTTTGTAGAGCAGGATGGGGACAGTTGCAGCTCACTGTATTTTAAAGCAGTTTCAGCTGAGAAGTTAGATTTCTTTTCTGTCTATAGCAAGTGTATGCAGACATTAGTAAAAGAAGGTTGCGTCAGATTGTCAGCACTTTCAGAAAAAGAATTAGTGAACACATGCACACTATTGAATTTTAAAGAGAAATTGCTGTTGGCACAAAATAAAATTGTTAGGGTAGGAAAGTTTGAGCTCCTTATGCCTAGATGGCCAAAAGGCATGACTAAAAAATTCTAGCATAGTATTACGTAATATCAGGGTGAGGGCTTCACTCTTCAAGATTAGTTTTATGTAACAGCGCCATCTGCCGAAATGAGCATTTGATTTCAACCCTGTATTTTGAAAATAGTCAGATAGTGAAATTACAAAAAGAAATACATAGCAGTCAAAAAGAGAAATTGTCCATGGTTGATACTAGTAAGTCATTCTTTCTATACCATGTCAAATTAAATATTTGCCAGCTAATTGAAATGTCATATCTAACCCTAGCTAGAAGAATTCTTAATGAGGAATGCAATCTTAATTTCATTTTGCCTTCTGTTGTGAGTTTTTGTTAGCAAATTATTATTCCACTCCTGTCTTCATTATTCAAAATTATTCACGGATGCTATCATGTGAATCAGTCTAAGTATTTTCTCAAATAATTTGCAGGCATATTGCCTTACAGTTGCTTATGGAAAATAGGAAGCTTGCTCAGACAGTGACCCTCAACTTATTTGTGTGGTTTTTTAATGATTTTCCAAATTTAAACTCTGTAGAAACTAATAGAGTTTGGCGCTCTAACAGTATTGACAGATCTGAGCTCTTCTGCCCATGCTGGGAAGAAGGTGATCAGTAAATGTAAGTGGAAAAAATGCTTTTAGATGGAGTTAGGTCATGTCCTCAGAAGCAGCAGAGTGAGCTCAGGTTCACTTGTAAAATGCCATTTGGTATATGCAAAGTCATCCTGTTGTTCATAGCCTTTGTAATCCAAGGCTGAGATTCCCAAGCTTATGTTTCTGCTGGTGGGAGGTTTATGGGAGTCTTTCTGCGTTCTCTGTGAACAGCTCCAGATCCTGACTTGACTGCTTCTTTTTGGAGTTTTCTCCGGCAAATAAGTGAGCATTTAACAGTGGGATCCCCTAAGTGCTTTGCAGTCTTGTCCTCAGTATTTAATGTTTACTTTGATCAAGAAAAAAAGAAAAAAGTGTCTAGTCAGTTGCTTCATTAAGTGTTTGAGATAGAGCAAAGCTCATCAAGACAAATAAGCAACTGTATCACTTTATATGATGGAACCGAGTTGAGTAGCATGGGTCTGACTGGAGCAATGAAAAATGAACATTTGCTCTCTAATTTCTCTTTCAGGTGGTAGGAATTTTTGCAGGATTTGGTCTTCTGCTTTTGGTGGCCTCCCCTTTCCTTCTACTTGCTACGCCATTTGTTCTGTGCTGCAAGTGCAAATGTAGTAAAGGAGATGATGACCCTCTGCCTACCTAGACTGAGAGAAGATTGGACTCATCACAACATACGTTTTGATTTTATTGTTGCGGTTGTCGTTTCCCTCTTGCACTTGCATTGGTGTAGCCTTACTTGGCCCATTCTGCTTTTCGCTGACATACAGTCTTGGTTCCAGGAACTGTTGTTAATACTGTTGCTTAGATCATTTAATACTAGACAAGGAGGGTAATGCAAGGCAAGTGTGGTGCTTAAGGGAGACCATGGACCAAGATAACTGTCTGAAATGAAGAGGTGATTGCGCTAAAAATAATGCAAAAGCTTTCTGTTGCCCTTGTTGGTGGACTGGGAACTGTGCTAAGTGACATCAGCAAAACAACTTAAAAATAAATACAAATCTAAACTTTTTGCATATCTATTTGTTTCAAAATTTGGTGTCTTATTCCTGTATGAATTTAAGCTGCCTATCATTTAAATTGGATAGTCAACTTAATGAAACTTTAACGTGTTTATTACACTTCTGTTTTTGTTAATTTTGCCATTGCAGCATCCTTTATAGTGCATATTTTTCCAAGACTAGCGAAATCAATAAGGTGCATATAGGCCATCCTATGCCTTTCTTGAAAATTGAGAAGGGATAGGGGGACAAAATTGGTCCTGTTGCCTTCTGGGTATTTTAGGAAGTCTTATGAGAAGGTTGTTTGATTGAAAACTACATTTTTGAAATGAATTTTTGAAGCTGTAAGGTTGAGTGGTGACACAAACCTGCTATCTAAAAGGTCCTTTTAAAAATGCATTGATGGTATTGATTACCACTGGACCACTAGTGTTTTTCTGAATTTTTATTTTTGCTGTTGTTTAGGGTTGTGCTACACTTATAGGGCTATGTAACTTCTAATCCAGGTATCTTAATCTTTTTATATAGATATATAGATATATAGATATATAATCCTATTTAAACCAAATGTGTAAATAGCTGTGCTATTGAAATTTTTTGGAAGTTCAAAATAGCTTGCTTCTGTTTAAAGGGCAGTTATTAAAAATACAGGACTAATTTTACTCTTCAGCAGACTTTGGGTTATCAATGAATCTTTACTTTTAAGTATAAAAATTCTAAGCATCAGGATGGTCCCTGTAGTTAATAATAAAAATGCCTGGGATATTTGTGGAAGCTGTATTTAACACTTAAACTACATAGCCCATTTTCAGAGTTAATATTATATGGTGTATGCTGTTAGTAACGATACTGTGACACAACAAGTTTTTATTTGACAGCTAATCAGTGACCTGATTTGGTAGTTTTTCATAACTCAGTGCTGTGTGTTTCCAGAGTTGTAAAATATGCCAGTCAACATCCTGTTAATCATAGTAATTTTTATTTAGTAACATCTTATGGAAAATTATCTTAACTATTTTTAAAGCCTACAGGAATTTAACTAATAACTTCTCATCATGAAATATGATGCACTTGAATTGCTGTTTATGTTTGTGTGTATGATACTGGAGGAAAACATTCTTTTGAATAATGGCATGAGGTCTGAAAGACTGCATTTATTTCATTGTCACTTATGTCTGTGCATTATCGATGTACTGAGGGGGGTGAATATATTGAAGCCAGGATAAATTTGCACTGAAAATGCATCAGGAGCCTTAAAAGCAACTTTTTCTGGCTACTCTCACAGGCTGGGAATACATTTCCATAGCTCAGTCATAAGGAAGCGACTCATTGTTCCATTAACTTTTATTTTATGCAGCCTGTTAAATGAAATGATTGGAGGGTACAATTTTGAAAAGGCCTCTGTCCTTTTGTAAAACTACTCTTGAATTCTTTCTCCCATTTTTTCCAAGTTTTAAAGGTATCCAAATTCAAACTGTATCTAAATCCAAATTTTACCTCCAGGAGTTGCAGTTAATCTGCATATTTGCTTATTTGGCTTGATTTTAATGAGTTCAGCCATTATAACATGAAGGAAATGGATATCTGTTTACCAGCAAGTCTGAATTCCTTATGATATCTTCAGCTTATTATTATGGCAATGCACAGTTCCGATCTTTACTTGCATTATCTATTTTTGTTTTCATAGTACTTCTTAGCCAGTATTTTAGATCATCTTTATTATTAAAAATTGCTTAGTTATTCAGAAATATTCCTAGGGGAAGGCTGGGTGACACATCCAATCACTATGTTTGCCAGCTCCCACACAGTGTGTGAACCACTGCTGCGTTCAGTGGGCAGTGAAGTGGTTATCTCACTCCAGTTCTGGCAGCAAATAAGTCCGTATCACCAGAGATACCTAAGTAGAACACCATTTAAGCTTGGCTTGTCTTAAGTCATTGCTTCCATGGGTAGAAATAATGGAAACCCTTCTGTGAATGACAGCCTCCTGCACATAAGCTGATAAGACTGAGTGGGAAAGCTTGAACCACGGGTCTTTGATCTCTGGCTCTGTAACTCCATTTAACTGGAGAAAAAAAATGGACAAAAAGACGTAAAGATTTCCTGGGTTGTTAATTTTCTAATTGTGAGCACTAAGAGATTGTCCTCTGTGTGGCAGTGGTTCTGGTGACCAATTCTACTGGAGTATTAGAAAGCAGCAGAGGTGCAGTCGCCTATTAACAGTACCGGAGATGTCATGGTACACGATTTATTTTCTACTGTGCCTTTCTTAGAGACAGTCTTTTGTGGCAATATAGCAAAGCTTGATTTCCGTGGTATAGAACTACTGTCCCCTGGGAGGCCCTTTAATAATCAATGTCAAAATTAAGACATGTCCAGATTTAAAAAAAAAAAAAAAAGTGGAAAAAAATCCTTTAAAAATATAAATATTTTAAAATAACTGATGTTCACAGGTTACATTATATATGAGCAGAAAACTGTGTACCTTTGTCAGCATATCTGTCTGTCTCTGATCTCAACATACTTGAATTGCTACTGGAGATCTCTATGGCATGTCACTTGATACACATTCTATGGCATAAACCATATACCTACATAGACTTACCAAATACCTAATCCTTTCAGGTATGCTAAATGTCATTCCTTCTGCATTCTTTTGGGGAATGTTTTTATTTTTCTTTTTTTGTTCTTTTTAATGCTGTTTTGTAAGTAGTTTACTTCTGATAGTGATGTGCTGAGGTTGGGGCTTTTTGTGTTACAGCTTTTGCTGATAGTATGGCATCTAATACCCTGAAATCGGATTGTAAATATATTATGTTAAACTCTGACATTTAAGCCCTGTGTCACAAAAAAGCGAATGTTTATGTCTTCACTGCTTTTCAGATGACTCTCTTTTTTAACAGCTCTGTCTTTTTAAATTTTTGTCTGAAAAATGAGATTTCACTGCATAACTTCTGTTGCATTTTTAGGCTATGCTATGATTTAGTTTGTTTGCATTGCCTTAAATGCTGTTTTAATGGAATTTTTTAACAGTACAGGGTTTGCATGTTCTGTTGGGATGAAGTAGTGTCTTGTCTAGTGAGCACAGGAGTGAATGTGGAGTCAGGACTCCTAAGGCTTTGCTTCTCCCTAGACTTGCTATTAGTTGGGCTCAAGGCAGCTCTGGGCAAGATCAGTAGCAAAACCTGCACTGACTTCAATGACAGCAGCACTGGGTCTTCCCCACGTGACCTTGGACAAGTCACTTTTGTCCTTTTATCTCAATTTACCCATCTTTTACATGAACGGAACGATGCTCAGCTACCTCACAGGAGTGTTGTGAGGGTAATTCCATTGGATTCAAGGCTCTTGAAGATTCTCTGATGAAAGATTATATATAATAGCTACTGTGGTTTATGTTACTGTTTCAATTTTATTCAAGTTGGCGTTCATCCTTAAACTTTCTACTGCTAACTGTAGCATACCAAGAGTTTGGGTACTTTCCCCAAAATACCAAGCAGTATGATCTTTCCTCAAATACTCTGACTTAAGAATTAGGCAAGATCCGAAATGAGAGCTGAGTGGCTCAACTCTCAGCGTACCGTTATGCCTTGACGTGCAGGAAACGCAATCAAAATTAGTGAAAAGCTCTCTTGTTTATGGAGCTAACAGGATAAATATCATAGATCAGAAAAAGATGATATACTTTAGATTTAAAAATGTTATGGGCAGGAAAACAAACATGAAGTTTTGTGCATTTCATCTGTAGTCCTTTTACTGTGAAAAAATAAGGATGTTCAATAGAAGCAATTTTCATCCCAATAAGGTGCAGCATACATAAAGCTTTGTGCAGGTTTGATTTTTAAAACCAAAGTTTGTACATTTCATATATATAATCTGGCATCCTGAGGAAAATGGATAGATGATGGAGGTTGTTGCTAACAGTGATATTAAAGACATCAGAAAAGGCTGCATCAGTGCTTAATTGCTAATGCACTTATACTAAGTAAAGCATGCAGTTTGTGTTTAGAGCCCTGTGGTCCTCATTATTGCTTTGATTTGTGTATCTCTCTCATAAGAAGTCCAGGAACATTAGGTACAGGTACATGGTATATAACTGAACCTTTCTTGATCATTTTATCATGGATGTATTTTAACCTTGTATAGGGATAAGCATGAATGAGTCATGCATATGTATAAATAATGTATTTGAGCAGTGTAAAAATAGTTCTGTTGATGTATTTGAAATGTAAGTACATTTTGTGCCACTAACACTGTGATGTATAAAAGAGCTGTTGAATGCCTTTTAATGTTGTGTTTTGTACTTTGGATCATATTGAAGAGTTTAATTTGTAATTTCAATAGATATTTTAAATGAATATGTCTCCTGTGATTCTTCATAGTGACTTTTCAGTGTTATGTTCACTAAAGAAAAATGCTTTTGTTATGGGCAAACGTTCTCTCCTTCTCTTCCCCTCCTTGCTTTGGAATAATCCTGTGGCCTGGAGTCATCCCACCTGGCTTGTGGACACAGCTGTGGTTTTGCCCGTGGGCATTAGTGCACTTGTGTCCCCCGTTAGCCAACAGGGAGAACCTAGGGATCTCTAGACATTAATTCAACCCACAGCTAGGTCTTTGCTCCAGCTCCTGTCACCGTCAGCTAGTGTATGCCTAACTGTGAATTTGCTGCTCCACAAATCATGCTGAGATGTGTGTCTGTTCACGCCCCACGGGGTAAAGTCTGAAGGAGGTGGCTCTAATACATCTTCTTACCTAATACTTCTTCTTACAGTGAGTAATTTATGTTCCCCTCAGCTCAGTGTGTGGAAATGAAAATTTTAAAGGCAAAGTCCTATTTCCTGAATAACAGAGTATACCTTACTCTCTCTAACCGTGAGAGTTTGCTCTCATGTTCTTGGTTAAATTTTCTATTCATTGGTGCTTTGTAGTTCACCTGAATTTGAGTTTAGGATGCAGTCTTTGCATCCAGTCTCTGAGAGTGCAGCTGACAGAGGCAGCAGTTTGCGCAGCAGTGTCTGGGCTCTGCTGCAACTTTTAAGGACCTTGTTGGAAGTTGTGGAGGCTTTGTGGGCATCCCCAAGGAACTAGACAGTGCTTGCTGCTAGCAGAAAAGGGGAGTTAGGCAAGGACAACTGCAGGAGGCCTTGACTTCTCCTGGGAAACTCTAGCTAGGTATAGCTGCTGCTAAGGAGCTCGCTTGGTTGCCCCTGGTCAGAGGGAGTTGGGGCCTTTGATCCAGGTGGCCCTTGATTAGGGTGGGTCAAGCACCCTTTGAGCCAGTGCTAGGGAGAGGCCTATATAAGAGCCAGGCCTAGAGCACAGCAAACATGCAGCAGTTTGTGCAGCAAGGTGTTGGAAGGCATCTTTGTTTCTCATAGTAGTGTATGCACCTCATGTATTAGATCTGTACTTAAAACATAGGTGCCTGGACTTACCTGATGACAGTCAGTGCAGAGACAAAGCTGGAAGTTAACCTTTCCCATCCTATGCTGCTTGTTGAAGAGCATTGTTTGGAGAGTTTAATTCTGGCTTTTTAGCCTCAAGAGGCCTTTCTTGAGTTTTTCTTTTTATGCTTTCACCACAGAAGAAGTGTAAGCAACTGCCTTTGTCTAGGCACATAACTTTAATATGGCAAAAACTAAGTGAAATAACTTCTAAGTTATTTTTTATGACTAACTTTTTATAACTAAGATCCTGGAGTAATGCGGATTAAATACAATCACACAGGTTCCAAGGTTTTTTGCAGCTCTAAGTAGAAGAAAGTGTTTTGATGGAGGAAGTGATTTAATTCTAATATATGACCCTTTTCCTTCAGTAGGTGAAAAGGTGAAAATTAACACCTCTAAGCTTGAGTAAGTGGTACTCTGTGCAAGCTACACTTTTGTAGAATTGGATGCTCAGGTTCCATTAAAATCGATTAGCCTTTTCATTAACTTTAGTTAGAGTTTGGCCTTTCATTTTAGGTGAGCAATGTGCTCTTCTTTGTAGTCCTATTCATCTTGCTGTGAGACGGAGCAAGCAAGAGACAGCACAAGCTGCGTTTATCTGACAGGGTTTTCTTTGAGAGTATTCTGCTTCAATTCACGTGATCTGTTTTGTGTGACAAATATGAGAGACTGATTTCATCCATGGACTATAGGAGGAAAAAAGGTATAGATGTTAAAAGAGAGTGACCATAACCCATTAATCTAGCAGGTTCTGTAGGCCAGACCTGCTCATACTAGCCTCAATTAAACTCTATGGCACAGCCATCCTGAGATCTACTCTGCTGTGCTTTATTCTAGATCTACTCTGCTGTGCTTTATTCTTGAGAATGGTTAAAAGCAAGCACACTTTTTATTTTTCTTTTTGCTCCCTTGAGATGATGTTTTGGGCTTGGTGGGTTGCAAAAATGCTTAAGCTGCCCTAAAAGCCTGAGGTCTCATTACACTGTGAGAATGACCTTGTCATTTTGTGCGATTACTCACAGGAGAAATGCACAAGGCTGTGCAAAATCTTATCTTAAAATTTTCTTTGCAGAAGAACAGAATGCAACATTATTTATTTATTTTTATGCCTCAGTAAATGTTAGTGTTCTCTTTTTGTTAAAGTATCATATAACTTCTATGATAAATTGAGTGAGTGATATTTGAGTTGGAATATGAATAGAATTTTCTTTTAATGTATTTTAAAAGGGATATTGAAAGAATATTTTAAGCCTTTGTTGTAATTGGTGCTGCTATGAGCCAGCAGGGTGCAGTGTCTGAACACCATTTTAGACAGTAAGACATGGTTTTCTTTAAGAGTATTGCACATAAATCTATATGAGCAAGATTTCTATCTCAAGCTTTTAAAGCCTATGTTTCAAAACCTGCACAGAGTTAATTGTAATGATATCATAGCTAAAAATTACAATGTTATGATGGGCTTTGCATGCTGTGCTGGGCTGTTCTGGTCTCTGAATATTAACATATGTTATTGTTTCTGTTTTGTGAGAGTATATAAACCTTTTCTGAAAGTCGCAAATCATAAGCGTTTGAACTTCCAGAAAACTGATATAAGCATAGAGATGTTTCAATGTGCAACTGGAAAATGAAGTGCATACCAGAGATCTCTTTCAAAATGCTATGTTCACAGTCTGTTGGTTCAAAACAGATTATGTATTAGCTAATAGCATTTCATCTTCTCTATATTTTATAATTGACGGATGTTGTAACTGAGCCAAATTGTTCTCTTCTCCCTTCCTACCCACGCCTGCTGTTGTATCTGTGTTCCTCAATACAGATGTTCAGCAGAAACAATACAACTGTCCAAACAATAACTGTAACCATCCGTTTAGCAGTCGACATGTTTGGCAGAGAAGGCAAGCTGTGACGGGTGTTTGCTGTGAGTCCTTCTGCCTTTAGCTCACTCTACTTATTATAGATGTTCCAAAGTTTGTGCATCTTCCCCCTGCAAAGTATATCTGAATAAAGCAAATTGCAAAGTTAATTTATTGTATTTTTTTGTGGCCTAGAGGTATGCTTCAGCATCCTGCCCATACTAGCACAAACCCTAACTTTTCAAAAAAATATGAATGTGCTGTCTGGGCTGCCACCATCTCCCTGCCAAACTGTCATGGACCACTGGGAAACTTCTGGTTCATGCCAGTTACAGCATGCTTGGGATGTATTAGGAGCATGTTTTTCAGCTGGATCCATTTTTCAAGATCTCCCAAATATGCAAAATTATGCTATTAGAGGATCAGGGCAGCGTCAGCGTCTTACCAGGCTGCTCACTTTGTTCTCACCATATCACAGTATGTTGTTCAGCAGATTTCCATAGCTGTCAGCATTGATCAAGTGGTAGCAGACAGGAGACCTTCTCAAATGCAAAATGCTTCCAGCCTGAAGGTGCTGCTTACAATTTTTCTTGGCTTCCCAGCACCTGGGTATGGTGTCCAGGTACAGAGTATTGCATGCCGTAGAACGGCTTGTAGGAGGTGTGTGGCTGCTGGGGCCAGCTCACTGCTTCCAACACGACGGAGCAGAAAGCAGAGAGATCCTCGGTGGAAGGAAGAGGCATGGAGAAAGGGCAAAAAAGGATTTATGTGAGATGAAAAGGTTTGGTGCATGGTTGCCATTGCTTTTACTAGCAATTGTTGTCCTTTCCCTTGTCTTTGATCCCTTCTTTGATCTGAAGACACGGTGAACTGCAGGCTCTGCAGGCAATGTCTAGCATCTCCTTATGGCTGGGGCTTGGTCAGGAAAACAGAAAGGAGGTTGCAACTGGATTAAAATATGAGAGCCTTATGGAAGCAGTTTTGAGGGACCTTCTGAGTCAGCTTCTCATTTGGGCTAAAACTGAGGCAACTAAATCGGATACTTTCTCAGCGACATTTGTCTGTGGAAAAAAACCACAAGAAACTACAGTACCTAAAGACGTTCCAGGGCTCCCTCAGGCTCAAAGGGCTCTTTAGGATTTAACTGTTTCCCTTTGACAGCTGCTGCCCTTGCATCTAAGAAAGCTCCTTCCGAGCCACAAGCTCTGGCCAGAGGCCCTGGGCTGCAAGGTGAAGGGAGCCAGGAAATGCCTGACAGCCTGGCAGCACTTTTCGATTAAAATTACAATAACTCTTTTGGCTGGACAGACTATGACTTTCCTCGCCATGACTCCATGGTCATCTCTCAGCAGGCTTGATTGATTGTCTCTGAAAAAATGGTAGCAGCAGCCCTGCAGAAACGGCTTTGGTGTCATTGTTGTCTTGCTCCAAGCTCCAACCTTGCTCCAGGTTCCAGTGGGAGGCTGAGTTGGGTGGGACTCTCCAAGAAAGCAACAATTGATGGAAGGTTTTTATAGGGCTATGTATTTCCTAAAGTTCAACGACCACACATGTGAAACTGAACTGTAAAAGCTCCTGGATACAAGGGGCGTGCAACTTGTTGATAGGGGAAGAAAAATCTTTTCTGTTTACAGAAAAGTATGGCGATTTTCAATTTAAAGTCTGTAAAAGCAATCAGAACATGAGGTTCCAGAAAACTTCCGTTACTCTCTCGCATGTCCTCTATGTCCTTCATTTAAGATAGGTATTCCCACCCTGAAGACCTCACCCTCTCCTAGCATCTCTGAAGAGCTATTGAAGACACTGTAAGGTTTGCGTCATGAGTGCGTGGGTAGTGTGTGCTGCACTCTGGCTAATCTCTACTCCTGAAATGACTGGAAGGGGTGGTAGCAGAGGATTATTAAATAAGAGTAGTCCACATAGATTCAAAAAGCCAATAATCACTTGATTCACCAGGAGGAGAATCAAGCAACATTTTTGAATCATTATTATTTCCTTAAACGAGCAAGATTTCAAAAGATGTCTGGCCTCTGTCCCTTTCTCACTCTCTGTGGAAGG